CTGTAAAAATTCGACGAACCTATCTTTGTCACCTTTGGCTAGCCGCAAAGGTCACCACCACCCACCACCCCGCCCCCCTAATTCTAATTTGACTGCTTTAAGGGAAGCCACTTGCGTGGTTTTTCCTTTTGGGGTTTGAACGCTTCGATCGAACCGCATTTAGGTCCACGACAGCGGATCGTATGTGTTTGACGGGGGGCGGGGAGAGGGAGAGTTCGTGTCGTATGGGAGATAGACGAACGTAAGAGCGATTCCTTTACTAGGGTTTTTGGGGAGGAAATTCGCGGATCCGATGCCTTGTGAGAATTGAAGTGCTTGACGTGATGGGGGGTAAGAATATGATAATGTCCTCGTACATCTCCTCGCGTGAACATTTCGATGCTTATCTTGATCTTCACAGGGGCGACTGGCGAGCCGACGCCAAAATTTTGTGTCGGTCCCTTGGATGGAATCGGGGCTCCGGCCGTTTGTTTCGCGGAAAGCGAATGATTCGGAATTATTTTTTTCTAGAGGCGATCGTTTTGTATGGCTTGGAATAATCAGTTGGTGGACATCGTTTTCATTATCGATAATAATTTATGTCTGAATATTTTACGATGGAAATTGATTTTTTGTGAGCGATACGGGCGATCATTTTTTTTCAGGGAAATATTTTCCAAATCATTCGCTGAAAACGAAACAAACACGCCCTAAAAATCACTTGAGCATGTAGAAGAATTTAGTATTTCCGATCTCACCTGCCGCGGTTTGCTTAGTGTTGTTGGGCATACTCCCAAGTGATTTGGCGTCCCCTAAATATATGTCCAAACGCCCAAGTTGCTCTCGGATCTCACCAAGCCTTTGTTCATGTTAGGACCGCAATAGCAGAAACTTAATACCTTTCGACCCGAGAGATCACCAAGAGAGAGTTCAAGCCCGAACCTGTTAATATATCTAGTCAGATATACCTTCACACTCAAAAGTTTTAAGTAAATGAGTTATGGACTAACTAAGATACATTAACTGCTGTACATCATATCAATTATCCAATGTGAGATTTCTGTGACACAGCTCACGCGTGTTGATTCTAATGGTTCATCTGCAACATAAGTCTGGCCGCACCATGATGTCGAATAACCCCGGCTCGACTCCTACCAACACCCCGCAGAGGCGGCGGCGGCGGCAACGGGGCACTCGCTCGAGACGAGCAGCGGTCGTGGCCCGAACCGAACGTTCCCGTCGTCTCCTAACGGGTTACCCTCGTGGCAGCGCTCAACAGGATTCCCCGACGACACAAGTTTATTAAGTTAAGGGAGAGATCATAGCAAAACGATCAAAACCCGGCTCCTCCCTAATCGCAAAATATCTCTCTCTCTCTCTCTCTCTCTCTCTCTCGTCCCTCTCATTCTCCACCACGAAAAAAAAACAAGAGAGAAGAAGAAGAAAAACAATCGAAAGGAAACGCGAAAAAGCTTAAAGTCAAAGGAAACGAGAAACGGGGATTATCGGCAACGAAAGAAGGCGGCGTGTTCCTCGCTTCCATCGTAATTTTTTTTTTTTCTCCGGCAACTTGACGCGCGGGGTGGGGCCCCCCCCCCCCGCCGCGGTCAAACGTTAATGCCCGAAGCGACTCCTTCCTTCCCCACCCGCGCGCCCCCCAAAAGTCAAAAGGGGGGGCCAAAATCCACGACGCCGCGACCTTGTCCACTTACCGCCACCACCACCACCGCACAGTAACTTTCGCTTGCTCGGCCACCAAAAAAAAAAGAAAACCCTATTTCCGAAATCTCATAAATCGAACGGATCATAGGGGTCGCGCAAATAAAATTTACCCTCCCTCGAAATTTGCCGCGCCCTAAGTCATCGGAATTCCCGCGGCGGTGGGGGGGACCGAAAGGCCGGAAGCGACCCTCCGAGAGCGCTCGAATGTCTCTGCAGAGGTAGCCATACGGTCCCCGAAATTTACCAATTACACCGCGAATCCGATTATCCGTCGCGATGGAACGTCGGTATTTTTTAAAATTAGCCCAATTTATTATGGTAGGTCGCAGCTTAACAGAAATCGGCCCCGCCTCCCCCTCCTCTATTCACATCTAATCAATGAATATGTGTGATAAAAAAATATATATTATATAAAAATATAAGATGGCCTTTTTGGGACCCCTATAATAACAGAGACCTACAATGCGTTGTTCAACGGGGGGGCGGGGCCCGCATCAGAGACGTCTCTACAATACATTGATCGCGAAATTACGGTGGTCACGTTCACGGTAGGCCCCCTGCGCCCCACCTGTAGACTACCGCAAGTCCCCCTCACCCCCGACCCAAACAAGAAGTCGAGAAAAGAAATATCGGGTGGGGCAATTATTATCTCCGTATTTCTTTTTAATTATTTCTCATTGAAAAGGAGAAATTTTTTTTTTTGTAACTACCGCTTATTGAAAGCCGTACCGATTTTCTTTCTTTATTTTATTTATTTGGGGGGTGATATTCATGGAATAATCCAAGATAAACATATCGGCTGCCTATCCAATGAAAGCAATTCTGTCAATTTTAGCCTCAATGATTAATGGGTCAATGGGTTTAGGGGGGCATGTAATATGACGTCATTTTTCCCCAATTTCTCAATTTTTTTTTATCCATTCGTCGACATTCTTTTGCTTTTATAATTTTGGATCGAGCCGTTTCATCGTCAGAGATTGAGATTAGTAGCGAATGATGGGTTTACGGTATTCATTATAAGACGGTTTTAAGAATTAACGGTCTCGACGACGGCACTCGAAAATCGGAATATGTCCTTCCACGGCTTAGAATTCACCGTATCCAAGCGCGGACGCAGGGAAGCAAAAGGCAGATTAACTAAAGCGTGCACCCCACGTCAATTCTCCGCCGATTCTAAAACATCACTCGAATGGCCCATCCGTGTACCTTCGCCTTTTCCCCCAGTTCATTCCCATCCATCCCTGTGCTGCAAAAGAAAGGCCGGCAGGAGGACAATACTTTTCCCATTATCAAATTCGAGTTTTCCATACCATCACATTCCGATTCGCCGAAAGCTCGCGAGAAAAGGGACCACGAGACAGCCACCCCCCCTCGACGGATGTTCAGACCGGGTGGTGGCGGAACCGAGCCGCAACTCGATATTGCGAAGCCATACGAGAGTCTCTAAAGCTCGTCAAATTACTTCTTCTTCTTCTTCTTCTTTTGTGGTTTTGCGACCGTCACATGACTTGGTAGATTAATCTTTGCAGGTAATTTGGTATACCAAATTGTATTCAACCCTAGCACTACTATTTCAAGAAACCGTGCCACATCTGTGAATAGTGTTTCTTTGGGGGGAGGGGGGGTTGAGTAATTAAAGAAAGGCCGGGGGGGGGCTTAATGAGCTGTTACCTCATATCTTTCCGTGCCGCTTTCTTTAATTAATGAGGGGGGGGCACTAGCCGCATCCTTTCCATTTCATTTTTTTTTCATTTTTTCTATTTATCATTATTTTTATTATTTTTTTAACTCTCTTTCCCTTTGGATCTGTGCTTTTTTTGATTGACAAGATGTGGAGAAATCATTAGATTAAAGACCCAAAGATTCCCTTCCCTCCCGCCCCCCCCCCCCCCCCAATTAAAAAAAGGCAAAAAACGAAAAAGAAAATTCAGATTAGAGAAAAAGGAGGGGGAGAAAAAAGGTAAATTCTCTCTCTTCTTCTTTTTTAATATATTAAGGGCCGTTTGGTAACGTGCCAAACAGTAAAAATTTCTGTTTTTTTGTTCTTAGAAATAGTTTGTGAACAGAAATGCGTTTGGTAAACCTTTTGTTTCCGGGCACATTTTTGCAAAAATTTGTGCCTGTAAACGCTTTGGAAGAGAAACAAGAAGAAAAAAGTTGTTTCTTGCTTTCTAAGACAATTTTGAGAATCGCTTTTTTCTTCTTTTTCTTTTTTTTGTTTTCTTCTTTTGTGTAGCTCTTCTTGGCGTGGTGGCCGCCGCCGCCGGCCACGTGCCTGAGGCGCACGGCCTCGCCGCGCCGGCGAGAGCGAGGGTCCCCTGCCTGCAAGGCGAGGGTCCGCCCTCGCCGCCCGGGCGAGGCGTCCCGTCGGCATGCAGGAGGCGGCCGGAGCGAGGCCGAGCCTCGCCGTGGGTCGCAGGCGCCGCCCGGATCCGGCGAGGCCGAGCTCGCCGCGCACCACGGCGAGGTCGGCCTCGGCCTCACCGTCGCGACCCACTGCGAGGCCGGCGGCGAGGCAGGCGGCCAAGGCGGTGGCGAGGGCCGCGACGCCCTGGCCTGTGGCTGGTCGCCGGCGTCGGCGACCAGCCATGGCCAAAGAATGAAGCATAAAAAGAAAAAAAAAGAAAAAAAATATTAAACAATTTAAAATATTATTAATAAAAAGAAATTTTATGTAGTTACCAAACGTATTTCTGTTCTTTTCTATCCCAGGAATAGAAATTTTGGACAGTTACCAAACGCCTTCAAATACTTAGAAATTGTTTCCGGGCACAGAATAAAAAAGAACCATTTCTGAATAGAAATAGTTTCCCGGCATAGAAACATTGTCATGCGCACCCTAATAAACGAGTACAGCCTCCGTCCCTCCCTCCCTCCGCCTTAAGCAAGATTAGCGAGGCTAACCCTATTTTATCGAAGACGATCCAAACGGGCAAGAAGCTGGGTAAAACTCGGGGTAAACTAAACTGGGCGACGGCCCCTTCTGCTTGCTTGGCTCCAGTTAATCTCTGATTAACCGGATCGTAATTAACCTAATTATTTTGGATTAAATAATTATGGCGGAACAAGAAAAAATTAAGAAGTAGGGGGGAATTAATATGCGCTCCTCCCATAAAAACCCTCGACGGATTTCACATTCACCCTCTCTCTCCATCTCTCTCCCCCTCTCTCTCTGCTCGTGCCGAGATATAAAAATAATTTTTTTTCCCCTTCTTTTTTCTCGGCTGTAATTGCTGCGCTAGAGAGAGAAAGAGGAGAGAGAGAGAGAGAGAGGGAGAGGGAGAGAGACCCGCGAGAGGGAGCTCTGTGTGCACATGGCGAGCTCCGGCGACGCCGCCGCGGCGCGTGAGGGCGCGGAGGGCGGCGGGGAAACCAACTCGTCGGCCGAGCTGGGCGGCAGCTGCGGGGGCGGGGGCGTGGGCGGGAGCGGCGGCGGCGGGAACCGGTGGCCGAGGCAGGAGACGCTGGCGCTACTGAAGATTCGGTCGGACATGGACGGCATGTTCCGGGACGCGAGCGTCAAGGGTCCCTTGTGGGAGGACGTCTCCAGGTGAATCGATCGAACTCTGGACTGGATTCTTCTCCTCCCTCCTTCGCTCGCTTCATTCGAAATCGATTTTTTTCCCCCATCTTTTTCTTGCTTCTTCCTGCGGTGCGAGCGAACGCCCGAGTGAATTGCGCGCTTTTTCCCCGAGCGAGGAGACGCGAACCAGAGTGTTTTTTTTTCGTCTTTCTCATTTGGGTATTGGGTTGCGGAGATTTGGTTCACCCTCCATCGCCGTCTTCTTCTTCTTCTTCTTCCCTCCTCCAGCTCGTAGTTCATGAACTTCCGATTCAAGAACTCCACACCCCACTTTCGATTCTTGTTTCCTTGGGAGGAAAAAAGCTGCGTGGGTGATTTGTATACTGATTCTTTTTCGAGGGGGGGTGGGGGACTAAGTTGCGAGATGAGGGGGAATTTTTTTGGTGGCATCTGCAAAAATCTTGGTGGGGGGGACGGGGGACGGGGGGCGGGCATTGAGTTTCCGCTTTATTTTTCTGGCGATTTTTTTCCTTTTCTTGGAAGGGAAATGGGAGAACTGAGCTGGACATTGTTCTTCCAACTTGTCGAGAACTCCATGCGTGATAGGGACAAGCCCTGATGCATTGGTGAACTTTCCGAACAATCTTGTCCTTCCTCCAAATCTCCTCCGTGCGGATGCGCTTATGTCTTTCTGGTCCGTGGGCTGCAATTCACAAAACCTCATCGTGTTTTTATGCCTTTGTTTCGAACGGGTTTTTCTCGGGGACTTAGCATTTGTCCGCAGTTAAGAGGGCGAGGGATAGAGACAGGAGCAAAAGAACTAGAGCTCGATTGTCTTGAAACCTTTGTTGTCGTCGTTAAAAAAGGGGAATTTTGTTTCGTGTGTGATTGGATCAGGAAGCTAGGAGACCTTGGGTATCATCGAAGCGCCAAGAAGTGCAAGGAGAAATTCGAGAACGTGTACAAGTACCACAAGCGCACGAAGGACGGTCGGACCGGCAAGCACGAGAAGAAGACCTACCGCTTCTTCGACCAGCTGGAGGCCCTCGAGAACCAGTCCCCTTCTCCTTCCGTCCCTCATCCGCCGCCTCAGATGACGGCCGCCGCCGCCGCCACGAGCACCGCCGGTCCGCCCTTCACTGTTACATCGATTACGACCCACCATCACATCACCACGCCGCAATTCAATGTGGCGCCGCCCGCTGCGATAGTTCCTCCCGCGGCGGTTCCTTCTTTGGCCGCAAATGTTGCTGTAAACCCGGCCCGGGGCGGCGGGGTGGCGTCGTCCGCGCTACCTAGCATGCCTGGGGATTTGGCCATCTCGGATGCTTCTGTGCCCTCGTCTTCCTCCACTTCGTCGGATGACGAATTGGGCGCCCCGCCGCGGCGAGGGAGGAAGCGGAAGTGGAGGGGCTTCTTCGAGCGGCTGGCGAGGGAGGTGATGGACAAGCAGGAGGCGATGCACAAGAAGTTCCTGGAGGTGATCGAGAAGCGCGAGCACGAGAGGATGGCCCGGGAGGAGGCCTGGAGGGTGCAAGAGATAGCCAGGATCAGCCGAGAGCGCGAGATCCTCACGCAGGAGCGGTCTGCAGCGGCAGCTAAGGATGCGGCCGTGATGTCGTTCTTGCAGAAGATTGCCGAGCAACAAATCCCTGGCCAAGCGCAAGCTAATCCGTTGCCGACTCCACTGCAACCGCAACCGCCAGTGCGGCAGGTGCCGAACCTGTCGCCGCCGCAGCCCGTATCGGCCCCGGCTACGACACCAGGAGAAATCGTCAGGTACTCCCAGGCACAGTCGCCGGTGGTGAACATGGAAATCCACCGAAGTGTGAATAACGGCGACAACCAAGCCCCGCCGAGCTCCTCGAGGTGGCCGAAAGTGGAAGTCGAGGCGCTGATCAGGCTGCGGACCAACCTCGATTCCAAGTACCAGGAGAACGGGCCGAAGGGGCCCTTGTGGGAGGAGATCTCGTCGGCCATGAGGAAGCTCGGGTACAACCGGAGCGCTAAGCGGTGCAAGGAGAAGTGGGAGAACATCAACAAGTACTTCAAGAAGGTGAAGGAGTCCAACAAGCAAAGACCGGAGGACTCCAAGACCTGCCCCTACTTCCACCAGCTGGACGCCCTCTACAAGGAGAAGACCTACAAGTATGAGGCGTTGGCGAGCCAATTGCCGAAGCCCGAGAGCTCGATGGCGCCGCTAATGGTGACGCCGGAGCAGCAATGGCCGCCTCCCCCGGCGGAGCGGCGGATGGTGGACTCGACGGCGGAGGACATGGAGAGCGACCGCAACCACGACGAGGAAGAGGGCGACGAGGAGGACGACGACGAGGGGGAAGGCGACTACGAGGTTGTGGCAAACAAGCCATCTTCAGCGGGTGCCAATAGCGAGGACACACATGATTGTTAGCACAAATGTGCCGATCGGGTCATTTTCGTGGGTCGGGTCGGTTCGGCCGGAGAATTCGGGCGGGGCGGGGCGGGACCGGCGGCGGCCAATCGAGGTGAAGGGATGAATTTTACACGCCAAATCATATGGGGGGTTGGGGGGGGGGGGGGGGTTTGTAGCATATGGTCAAGTGGGGTTTACAACTTTTATTTGTTTGGATTAAAAATGATTAATTTATTTTGTACCCAAGTAATAAAAAAATTTGTGGGAGGAAAAGGTAAGGTGTTCACAAGGGATTAATAAATAAACATTTTAGAGAGAGAGAGAGAGAGACAGAGAAAGATGTTGTTCGGTTGATGTTTCAAATATTCATGTTGAGTGTATATTTAAACGAATACAAAAGGTTCTTGCTCTGGTTTCTGTGGTTTCTCTCCTCTGTTATTGGAATCTGGAAATTCTTTTGAATAACAATCTAGATTAATAAAAGAGGAAATTGAAATTGGTTTTCTTTTATTCAGTCTAATTAGATCATTAGGAGATTTAATTATCTTATATGAATCGGTATGGGCTCGGTACCAAACGATAACATCTATTTCGTTGTTTTGGTCAAATTGCGAATTATAAATTCCATTATACGCAGTTCTGTTTTCTCTCCAAGCCATATGAACGTTGAACTTGCTAAAAGCCTCGTGTGAGAATTTATGGAAGAAGAATGATATTTCGCAATTCACAAAATGCTCGTTTTATCGCCATTAATTGGTGGACATTATGGAATAATGGTGCGAGAAACAAGCCTTCGCTTCTTCACCCCGCGATTAGATTATATTTGGACGTTTTGTTTGATTACTATCGATGTCGGATTGAATTGGACTGTCTATTGAGGTTGGATTGTACTGCAAATTATTAGTTTGGTGATACCTTGTCGTCGAAGTCGGATCAAACGAGTAATTTGATGAACAAATTTCTCGCTCTAATTTTGACCTCCCGGGTGAAATTTCTTTGGTGCCTTTTTTTTTTTCTTTGGCTAAATGGAGGTGAAGGTCATACGTAGATCTAATCATATGTTAGAAAACCCTTCTTCTTCTTTTTTTATCGAGCATGAATACACATGGTTCTAATTTAAGATGAGCATTTGATTTAATTATCTCAGATTTTAGATTGGCAAAAGATTTTTTCAGAAAACTTTTTAGACGTCATTTGAGTGGATATTTCAGATTTAAGAGGATAGAATTTTCTATTTTATTAAGTCATTTGTTTTCCAATGCAGCTTGGGAATTATTTAGAGTTGTCTAAAGGTAATTGTTTGTTTCTCATTCAGAAAAGTATCACCTCTTTGAAGATCGATGTATAAGATCGACGACTGTTCTCCGATGGCTGCGCTTTCACCGTGCATGCCGAGAGTATGTTAGATTGAAAAAAAGTGAGTTAATCGTTTAGTTAAGTGAAGCTAATGCAGGGAGCCATTTCAATTTCGTTCATTGCGAATTTACCTACGTTAAGGTGAATTTGGAATCTCTATTTAGCCAAACCATATCGATGTGTTAACGCCAGGAAATTATTCCAAGCATCAGAGCATCCGATTGGCGAAATGGATTTGGTCGACAAGAGCATGTCCTGCCACATTTCGGTCGACCAAAACACACATAAGCCGATGCTGAATGTAATTGCCGATTAGTGGAGTTAATGATATCGCGATTTGTAACTGCTTGCAGATAAGTGTTGTTAAACAGTAGGAGCCACGTATGGTATATGTAACTATTTTACGGGTGACCGTCGGTCATGGACCGTAAAGATCTCGAGTATATTCCTCCTAAAGGTCGGCCCAATCAATCAAAGTGCTACTGCTGTTCATCTTTATCCCCCCGGCAAAATCTACATTTCCAGTGCAATTCACATTGCTGGCAAGCCACCTACTTTCCTCTTCAAGAACTAACAAAAGACCCTTCACCCGCCTTCCTCCCGCCGATGTCTGACATTGTCCATTCATTTCATTAGGGTTAAATGCTTAAAGTTCCAGGACTTGGGTCTCTGTTGCAGAGATGGTCGGATGCTACGGCTGACAGGACAGCAAAATCAAAGCATAACTGACTTTTGCAGTTGCAGGCGAGACCGAGCATCGTCGCATGTGGACGGACATTAGGGGAAGCCCCCGAGGAGGAATCTCACTTTTCCTCCCCAGGTGCTTCAATCCTGCTTCTCTCTCTTTATCTTTTCCTTTTGAAAGGAAGATAATCGGATCGATCTATGTACGCACCGTCATTTCAATTCCTTGATGTGTTCGCATTGATGTCAGTGCAACGCTTGAGTTTTCGCCAAAGCAGCACTGATTCCAGGGAACTCCTCGTTTCCTTCAGCTTGAGTTTCTTCGACAGATCCAAACGTGCGCTTTAGGCGCGAGTTTCCCACATGAACATGTTGTTAGGGATTGTAAATTTTGTTTGCTGCGTCAAATCATGAAAGAATCTAAGGAATCGATCGTTGTTGCGATCTAGGAGACCTGTTAAGCCTCGAAGTTGAACGGTTCATAAAACTTGCAGAATGTTCAATGGGCCTGTATATAACCGACTTTCCGTACCTACATCTTGTATTAATAAAAGATATCATTGCAATCGTGGATACATTCTTCCATGACTTTATTTTGCAGTATCGCTTTTTGTGGTGCTCTAAGATATGCAAATGGGACGCTAGATGACTTCCCCCATCATTCATTTTTGGGTGGCCTGGAAAGTTGTTCCTTGTGACACGTACTAGTTCTTGAGAGTTCATTTCAGAGTAAATTTAGTGTCCGTTTGTTTTGTTAAAAATAAACGTTTTGAAAAATATTTTCTAAAAAATGATCGCTTTGATCTTTTATAAAAACGATGTACGAAAATCTTTTTTATCGTTTACAAAAATGTTTAGACATAAATTGTTGTCAATAACGAAAACATTTTCCATTGACTAATTATTTTAAGTGGTACAAGCGATTATTTTTTGGAAATTTTTTTTACAATTCACTTATTTTTCACGAAACAAACAAACCCTTATATAGTGTGCTGATATTTTACCTGCTAATTTGGACCATTCTTCAAACTGTTCCGTCTTTTACTTCAACATCTCTAAGCCTTCAGTTTTGTCCATTATGCTGAGGATTTTTGCATTGGGGCTTGGCATTCCGATGATGTGTGATTTGACCCCAACCTACAAGTTAGGTTTAGATTTCACAAAAAAGCATGTACCCATTATTATTTTGTCTTAAAGACCTTCCTTCGACCTTGCTATCTTATCTAATTTCCCTTTCCTTTCTTTTCAGGATCTGAAATAATTTTGCTCCAAACTTTCAAATCACTATCGAATAGGTACACGAGATACACGAGAGCTAGATCTAGCCGCCGGTCCCTTTTCTAATCCAGGAATTCCAGCACTCGGAGGCCATCAGGAAACACCCTACAGGCTCCGTAACCGATTAGGTCCCTCCCTTCGGCCTACGTAAGTAGCCTTAACCCAAAGCGGTTTGTTTGTAGCGGTCGAGATTTCAATGTGTGCTCCGGTTGCCAAACCGACGCCCCAGCCCTGAGACGTTCAGATCTATCCCTCGTTAAATAGCAGTATGCTTCGAATCTAGGTCTATGCATACAAGACTGAAAAGAGAGAAGATATAGAGAGGACATATGGGTATTGATTCTACCTACATCTTGGCTAATGAATCCACTTAGTCAACGGTGTGTATCATTGTAACTTGTAAGTAGACTTCGAGATTGGGAAGGGCTTTAATCACAAGAGGGGTTAGGGGCATGCCCTACCATTCTGGTTCGCTTTGATGAGAATTCACAAACAATGCTGTTGTCCACTAAAGAGGAAGTGGCCCCCCAAAGGAAGAACACGCAGAGCGCAGGAAGGAAGGGTCACTTTCTGTGGTCAAGGAACTTGCCCTCGTTTACCTGGCTACAGCCAGATACACAACAGCAGCCCCTCCAAATATCTCCTTTCATCACCTCTTTTACTGGGCAACACGGGTCTCTCTGTCTTTTCCAAAATGTACACATCTTCATTCGTAGTAGAATCGGGATCACAAACGATCGAAAATAATCGAGTATCACGACGTCTGCCGTAGAGTCGAGCGTGGTGTGTTTAGAAGTCTCGGACTAGCCCTAAAACGGCTTAGGAACTCCTTTTTGTTGGGTCAACGCAATTGGAACTCGCAAAAAGAAGCATTCCGACCCCAATTCAATTCGCACGAAATGGTTGATCACATCGTCGGGTTAAGTTCATACGAGAAAAGAAAACCCTCCATTAGATGTTGTGGTCAAAAGGTCAGTGTTTTCGCTGGTAGTTTGGTGCGCATGCGTATGACTTTTTCAAGTAGACCATGCAATATAATGTTTTTTTTATCTGCCGCTTTCATTTGAATTTGCTTCTTGGCATCGTGGTACTCGTGTACTTACCTTGGCCACCAAAAATAATAAATATATCACTTAAATAATAATACGATCAGGAGAGATACAGGGAAAACGACACAAGTAGTCCCTGAATTTTTTATTCAACGTGCAATGTCATCCCCGAACTCTTAATTTATGCAATGCAGTCCCTGAACTTTGGCCAAATATGTAATGTCGTCCATGAACTCTTAGTTTATGCAATGTGGTTCAGGTGGTTCCTGAATTTTTTAAATATTTATATATGATCTGAGAACTGTATTGAACATTTATCAATAGTTCATGGACCACCTGAACTACATTGCACAAATTAAGAGTCTAGGGATAATATTGCACGTTGAGCCAAATTTTAGGGATCACATTGCACAAATTAAAAGTTCAAGGAAGGTATTGCACATTTGATCAAAGTTCAAGAATCATTTATGCTATTGTTCCAAAGATATAATAGCGTCAGTCCAGATACTATTAGTCATTAAAATAAGTGAATTCATCTATGTGGGCAACATCAACAGGGTGGGTAGGTTTGCGATCCGCCGGAAACGAAATTGGAGATGGGATTTTTTTTTTTTACTAAACGATTCGTGATGATCAGCACTCCCACGTAATGCTCCTTGCTGCAGAACACGTTGAGGTCCATTATTCATTGGATTCAATAATTGATGAAATGCGAATATTAACCCGAAGTCAAACGCCTTGGCCCTGAAGATGCCAACAAACGTGGGCTTTTACATGCCATATGTGGTATTCAAACGTAGTTGCGTCTGTCTAGGACTTTTAAGGCAATGTTCCGAGGGGGAAGTAAATGTCCGGGACCGCAAATGGACCACCCGTGCCCGAGGAGAGACAAAAGCTCTGGAAAACGAAGGGAAAAAGATGATTGCAGCGCAGGTAAAAACGTGTACGTTGATTTTGCGGAGTCAATACTATAATTATTGAGTCGGGAAACGAAGGGAAGATCGCTTTTTTTGGGTGGGCACACCTTGCGATGCTTCCAATGTGGACCATTCAATTAAGTGATACTAAATGCGTTGATCATCATAGGGAGCAAAAGGTACTGTCATCATTATGGCCGCAGTCGATTTAGTTATGAGT